TCACTTTCTGGCATCTGATATTAGGCATGGATTTATATATTGCGATTGTGATTTTCGAAAGTAATACATCGATCTGTAAACATTATTACAATTCATTGAGTCTCACCATACAGTTTGATATAGTGCTTGAACCCGGAAGCCGTTTCGCGTGACGTCACACTTAACAAGTGGATTGCAAGTCACTGCTGTAGCGCAAACAGCCTCCTCAAGGTCCTAATGCCCACACAGTTACATGATGACTTGTTCATATGGGGCATTGCATGTGTTAGAATGTAAAGCTTTAAAATTAGAGTGGTCATAAAACCTTCATTCCAACTATGAGAGTCAAAATTCATACCAATCAAATGAATCATTTTTCTTTACAATATAGCATGCAAGCAGCCTACCCCTATTTCCCAGTGCTCGTCCTGTAAGAAATTAAATGTTTCTGCTGTGTTAAACTAATAAACGTTTAAGTAAAAAGACATTTCTGTTTAAAAATTAAGCATTTATAGGTGTCATGAAATTTTTTTTTTTTTTTTTTTTTACCATTTACAATATTTAATAGCTTTACATTTTACAGCTTTTTTTATGCAAATGGATAGAAAAATTTAAGAATTTGTCATGGATTAAACCATTCATTCTATTGGAGTATATGACTTTGAGAATTTCAAGTACGCTGTAAAAAAAAAGTTGACGTAACTCAAAATTGTAAGGCAACTGAGCAGTGTCAACTTTTAACCCCAAAACTGCACTTGACTCGATTTAATTAAACTCAAAAAGCTCTGGAAGTTGCCTTACAATTTTGAGTTGACTCAACTTTTTTTCTTTTTTCCAGTGTAGGGGTAAATGTTCTCGCAACATGGTGAATTCATAATGGGTTTAAGTGGCTCTTGTAGCTTTATCAGGTTGACCAAAATAAGGCTGCTTGCTTTGAAAGTGACTTGTGAGCAGTTTCTTTAATGACCAGTAGAGATGCTTATGACTGATTTCTTCTCTAAATGCGTATTATAATAGGGAGAAATGAAGGACCTAATCGAATCCTGAACACAATTGGTCCCGAGATGCATTTTATTGCATATTAATACCAAGTGGCTATATGGTCTCTTATCCAGACTTGCTAACAAACTGCATTGTACTGATTACAAATCTAAATGCATTCAAAACAGAGGCAAGAGAGGAGACGTGCAAGACAAATGCAAAAGAGAGGCTCAAAGTTTTCTTTCTCATCAAATCAAATGAATTACTTTTTTTTTTCAATCTGAATCGCCTATGAAAAGATGGAAAGTACACAACTAATCCCTCCAATACCAAAATAAAAATAGACATTTTATGACAGCAAATGGATTTTATAAACTTTCACTTCAGTGCATTTTCAAAAGGAATGACAGCTGGCTGTATTAGTGGGTTTAAAATACATTTTAAAAGCTTAAAATATAAGATCACCTCCACTTAAATGGAGGGAAAAATAGCCGACCACATCCTCTCACATCAGCCGTTTACAATTATTGACATTTTTGTAGCCGTGAAAAGAGTGGACAAATTTTGATTACGCTTAAAGCCAACACGCTTATTTTCAGGGCTTGTTTGTTTTCAATTTTTCATTTCCTGTTCCCTTCTGTAACCTGCTTGTGTACAGTGAACGTGAAGGCCATTTCCTTTGTTTTCAGGGAAAGTTAATTTGAAGGGAAACAAGTCAATGCCTTCAAATTACAGCCTGCAGTGCCTCATACCTCCCAATTTGAAGCTCTATAATTAGCATAAGTAATGACATTTAGAAGCTTTCATTGGTGTGGATAATGAGCAGATGGTCCTCCTCAGAGGAGAGCAGATTTGTTTCTGTTCCCAGAGCAGAGCTGGGGGGAAATGCCACTAATTCTGCGTGCATGAGACACTGCTCTGAGACCAGCCTCCGCTAAAGGCTGCCAGCCTGGGCTTAAGACATGCCAATGACAAGTAATATCCAGCTTTGTCTTGCGTTCGATCGCAGAAATATCTAGGCTTCTGCAGAATTGGCAAGTTTTGTTTTTTTTTTTTTTTTGAGGAGGAAAGAAATCCGGCCAAATTGACTCGAGACGATGTGGTGAAATTGAATCGCTCTAAGCTCTCGGATGGAATGTTCCGGCAGCTTGTGGTGGTGAGGATGGATCAGTGTGTATTTGGGCTTCACAATATATAATTTCGCCACTGATATCGCAATGTACGCATCCAGCAATAGTCACTAGATCAGCAATGTTGAGTCGGCATTATACTTTACCATGAGTGACTGTTCAGATAATTGTGAGATTTGTGACCATAACAGAGTGTAAAGCCATATTCAGACAGGACTAGTTTGACTCGGCAAATTACACAGACAATTTACAATTTCACAGACATTTGTGAATTTAATTCCATCAGATATAATCTGTCATGTCTGTCTTTTTCTCACACAACCTCTGTAAAACTCCAGAGCAAATTACCTATTGTTTTTTAGCAAACTGAATGGCCTTATGAGAAATCTAATCTTGTCCGAATGCAAATATCTGTGATTGGCGAATTGTTCTTTCGCATTTTCTTGGATATTTTAGCAAAGCCCCTTTAAGGAAAGTAATTTCACTTGGCAGCCATCTTTGAAACACCTCTCGAGCAGTATGCTCGGGCATTCTGTCTAAATGGGGAAACATCAAATTCTTGTCTTTTTTATAGACTTTGTTTTAGTCATAGTCAACTTGCATACAATCTCTAGTACTTGCATATGGTTTGGTTTAACTTGCATACAATCTCTAGTACGGCTGGGTGATTTGGCCTAAAATCAAATTCTCGAATAATGGATCATTTTAACTCGATTATGATTATTGAACAAATATTTTATTTATTTTTTGATGTTTTTGCCCTTATAATTTACTGATATGTTTTGTATAGTAAATTTGCTCACATACTACAAGTGAGAGTTACAGCCATCTACAACTATATTAAAACTATCTATGATTATCTGTTAGCAATGTTGAACAACTGAATTTTAAACATACCCTAAAATGCAGCTCTCTGCATCGCCCAGTGTAGTCATCACTACCAAACCGACCAATCACAAAGCTTACGCTACGCATCGCTGTGACATGTAAGAACATTTTTTAAGAGGTGTGCAGGTATGCGAAGGCTGTGCCAGACTGTACACGTACCCTTGGCACAGGTATGATATATATATATATATATATATATATATATATATATATATATATATATATATATATATATATATATATATATAATAAGTATAACTAATAATATAAGTATAATTCAGCCTTAAAGTTCGAGTCATGTGACTTCACACATTGTATAGAAAATAATTGAAAAAAAAAAATTAGCCTGGAAAAATTAGGAACATTATATGCTCTGAATGTCGATTCGATTACTTTTTGATCAATCACCCAGCCTCAATCTCTAGTGTGCCAATATTCAGAGCACACTGATAACGAATGTAGATGTGTTTGCTACACTGCAATAAAATAAAAAATGCAATCAAAGTTTGCGCAAATAGCCTAGTGGTTCGTGAGTTGACACGTTAGCACTGAGGTGCTCACAGCGACCGGAGTTTGAAACCTGACTCAAGGCCTTTTGCTAATCCTTCCCCACTCTCTCTTCTTCCTATTCATTCCAGTCTTCTCTCTGTACTGTCCTATAAAACAAAGGTTAAAACCCCCTAAGTATGGCTACTGTAATATCACTTTCAAGTTTGAGTACATGTTTCCTCCCGACTCCAACGTCACGTCACTTTCTGTTTTGCCACCATTTCACTATTGATCAGAATGACAGTGACAATGCACAATCCATGCATACTGAACATATGGTCTTGTGCAACGACAACATGTAAAACAGATACTCCTATGTCCATAACAAACACGAAAGTCCCGTCTGAATCCATACACATAATGGTAAATGTCGGCTGAAAATAATTGTAACTCAAATGTGGTTTGGAAAACTAGACCCATCCAAATAGAGCTTGAGATAATCCTTAAGTTTTTAAGGCCTGTGACAGTGTGATGATTTCAAGGAAATTAAAAGCATTTGGGTACAGCAAATCATACAATTCAGAGGTAAAAAATAAATTATTTTGATTATTTATAAGATGTATACTATAAAGTATATATATATATATATATATATATATATATATATATATAGGACAAATCAGACATTGTGACATTTTGTATTTCAGAAATATATTTTGCAGTTTGAATACATTTTCACCAGATGGCTTGAATAGCTCAATTTAGAGAAAAGAAATTTAATTTTGATTGATTAGGGTGATTTTGTAAGGGTGTGAATCGTGTATAAATTTAATAAACAACTTGCAAGCAAGAATAATTACAGTAGAGCAAAGAAAAGAGCCCAATAAACAGTGCTTTACGGTTCCGGTAGAGTAAAACAGTATTCAGGTACAGAATAATGAATAATGAAATGTAAAACAACACTCTATGGTCTTGATTGTATTAATAATTCAGTAAAAATATTCATTCATTTCTATACAAATGTTGTACATTTTATTATCCTCATTAAAATCTGCTTTGAAACACATGCAAATGATAAAGATTTATTCTATTATGGTTATACTTTAAAATGACACCACAAATCTCATGTATTCGCAATTTTATAGTTATGTTGATCAACTATAATCCCCCAACATTGCATATCCTGCGATGTGACTATTGCGGACACACACATTACAATATCGATGCTGAACCGATATATTGTGCAGCCCTAATATAAAGTGTTATTTACACCTAATTAATCGATTCCTGTACTTGAACAGTCTGATACCGTGTATTTCACCTTTATCTTTGCTCTGTTGTATTCATCTATGCTTAGAGTTTGTTTATTACAAATCGAAGCATAATTTACCCCCCTACAGAATCGTCCAAACCTATATAAATTAATAAGTTCTAGTGAAATCCCGATATCACAATATTCATTGCAAAAAAAATAAAGATTTTTCCAATATCGTGCATCCTAATGTATGTGTGTGTTTGTGGATGTGTACGTACACACTGCTGTCGGTCAGGGAAAGCGTGTCTGCATCGCTGGACATGCTCTGCTGCTCGCTGTCGTTGGCACTGGTGGCGGGCGCCAGCGCGTAGCCAGAGTTCACGTAGTACGGATTGACGGGCTCCCTCCATGACGCGTGTCTGTTGATGAGAAATGAGACAAAGGAGAGATTCCTGTTAGACATGTGACCACCAAAACAACACTGGGCATTTCGGACAAACAACGCATTGCATTCACTCATTTCTGCATATCAGACAAAATAGCATATATGAAGAACGCTCAGCTGATATTAATCAGAGGATAATCGCTCTCTATGACGACTGTTGGTTTCAACTTCACCATAACCAAATCTTATTTCATTCATTCATGCAATCGACACCAATCTGCTTTCAGTAACCGCTCCAAGGGCAACATCCTTTTTTTCCTGACATGAACAAAGCAAAGGCAGTGAATGTAATCATAAATAATTGAATATACAACATTTAGATATATAAATGAGAGGAAATGAATGACTGATTAAACAGCACTGATGAATAAATTACTGTCAATCATGAAAATAATTAATAAACCTCCCGTGTTTTGTTACCCCAAAGAATTACACTGAATTTTTATTCAATCATTAATCATATCAAGTGTGGAAACATGGATATTGTGTGTACGACTGCTTGTTCGTTTCAGTCCCTTTTAAATCTTTTTGAAAAATATTTATCTGCTATATAACAAACTGTTTATGTCAAAAATATAACATTTTATATTATTGACATAAAATAGAAAATGGTTGTGAAATAGCCGTACTGAAATTATACAAATGTCCATTTCCGCTAACATTTAAGTGGTGTTAAGTGCATTCCTAAACACGCTGATTTGCTATTGTGTTCATGTGTTCAACAGAAATGATGCAGCTGCGTCCAAAATCACATACGTCCATACTATATAGTACGCTAAAAACAGTGTACGAGCCGAGTAGTAGAGCTGCATGATTCTGGCTAAAATGAGAATCGCAATTTTTTTGCTTAAAATAAAGATCACGATTCTCTCACGATTCTGTAGATGTAAAATAAAGGAATGGTAAAAACAAACATATGGCACAACATCAATAATATTATTTTGTGTATTATGTGAACTGGTTTCTATAAATAATTATATTCTACTTATAATAATTCTGATGTTGAATTATGTTTCAGATATATGCTTGCAATCTGTCATATTTGACAATTTTCTTCACTGGTAAAATCAGACATTTGCCATTATCAGATTATATTCAACAATATAGGCTGGAGTAGTTATACTGACATTGTAAACATGTATTTTCATGCACAACTGTGTGTTCGCTATGAAAGAAAACACATATCAAATGCTTGTTGTAATCATAACTCTAAAATGTGATATGATCATCTAAATGAAGTGCACACTTTAAGTTTCATTTTGACTGCCAAGTGCTTGTTCATACTTTGTGCGCGGCTCCCAAACAATCACTCTGTGCCACAAACCGAATATTATTTACAACTGTATTAGCTGTTACTGGCAACATATGCAGGTTCTGTTCACTAAAGTAGACGCGCGCGTTGTCTCTCTCTGTGATAACAGCTCACGGTCAGCAGCTCACGTCACATGTGATTTCCCGGCCGCGAAAACATCATATTAACACAAAAATGACTTTTTTTAGGTATATTATACCTTATTAGTACAGTATGTGACTCTTTTAACATCATTTGGAGGTGTCAATGTCACTGAGCAACGTGTGTGAAACAAGGAAAAAACTTGTGCGGCCGCCTTTTTTTCTCTACTCTCGTGAACTTGAAAATATGATTGACAGAATCGTAGAAATGCTGGATTAAGATCGTCAAGGGGGTCGAATCGAGATCACGATCTTTTAACAATTAATTGTTCAGCTCTACCGAGTAGTATATCCGAATTTTTAGAATTTGAAATTCAGTATGCAAGAACTACCCGGATAACCTACTACTTCCAGCGAGATTCTGCAGTGTGCACCCGATAGACACTATGCTATGCAATGAAGCACCACGAGAGAATTCTTGAATGGGTTGAAGCGATAACTCACAGTTAGGTAGGTCACGTGATCATGATAAAATAGCAGGTGTAATTAAATGTTGAAGTAGGAAATGTAATCTTAAATGTTAGTGGGAAATGGACATTTACATTTACATAATTCACACTTTACAATTTTATTAAACGCACTACATTTTGTCTACATGTATGCTGGTACAGCCAAATTATTATTTAGGAGCAATTCCAGCACTATGGATCTGACATTCGCAGTAAATAAAATCTAAACATAAATTCACATAGAAATTATGTTAACATTATATTAAAATATGAGTTTAACCACAGAGTTAAGGGATCAGAAAAATATCAATCTATAAACATTTTCATATTTTAAACGAGGAAAATAAACATGCGTTATGGATGTGACCAAAACAGTCTACAGTTTACAGTCTACAACATACTTCGTAGAAATTCCGAGAATTAAACTGTACAACCTAAAAGAAACAATAGACCGCTATTTGTTCACATATGGAAGTGACATACAGATGAATTACCATATTTGTAAACATTCAGCAAGGATGCAGAAAAAAACGGGAGCACTGCAGCTAGGGAATGACATCCAATGCGGTAGAGTTTGACGTTGTAATAGAAATAAGTTAATTTGATTACATATTATATATAATATTTACATAATGCTTTCAGCATTAAAACAGCTCGTCACCCAGTGATAAGCACAGTTATTCAGCAAAATTATGGTTAAAGTGAGCGGCGTTCATCTGACAGGCCCATTTGCAATAGCACCCTCCCAATGGATATTGGATAAGACAAAATGGCCAAGCATCCAGCCCCAAATATACAATCTCAATGAAGCTCCAAGCGTTTTTACAAGAGAGAAGTTAAAGGCCTACAAGTGTTTGGATGCCAACAATGTTGTTCTGTGTGGTCATGTTCAGGAAATAATGTTCCATGATTACCAGATTCAAAATTTTGTGGTGCAAAAAACCAAAGTTCTGCCTTACCAAAGACAAGGAAAAAAGACAGAGCTATACAAGGCCTGGGTAATCATCAACAAGCAAAACAACTGCATTCTGACAGCGAACTGCACCTGTACGGCAGGGTATGTGAACTTACACTTTTACGTTTCATTCTTAGCATTCAGTGTCCGCAGTTTAATTAACCATATTTACTGTTTAGCTGAAATCATTGCTGCAATCAAAAAAAAAAAAAGAGTAATGTGTATGATTCAGCATTGCATGAACTTACCTGATATGATATGAGAATTGGGCTTGCTCCAACCTTGCCGAACAGAATATAAACTTCATTCTTATTTACTGAATAAATGTTTCCGAACTTTCCACTAAGGAAGTAATTGTGGTCACCCAGACTACGATATGCTTTTACGGTTTCTCTCGTGTAGACGCACTCGGTATCAACCAAAAAATAATAAACATCTGGATGTTACTTCAGGTAAATGTTTAACATTGTGGGTAAAAAGTTCTGTTCTGTTTTAGCTAGACTTAAAGTTTGCGCAAGTCATTGTGTTTTGACAGGTGATATAAAAATGGCACAACTGGAAATGCTGTAGGACCAGAAATAGTGTCATGGCAAAGCATTTGTAATTGTTTATGTTATAGAAAAGGTCTATACTAATCAAAATGATTAGTGTTGTCTCTCTACAGAACAAAAATGATTCATTTTATTTTACATTCCATAGATATAGATTATTAGCTATAGATGTGACACCTCTCTGTTATGGATGTGACAAATGTGAAACTGCCACTTGTGTTACTTTGGTTAATCAAATGCAAGTGTTTGAAAACATTGACAGAGTCATATATATTTTAAAAAGACAAAAATGTCCATAAGGATCCAGAAGGGTTAAATGTGCCAGAACATAAAAACCAAAACAAGCATAAAGAATTGGTCTCAAAGTAATCTGATGCCAAAACAAAACTGCATTCAGTGTACATCCTTACATCACACAATTACATACAACTAGTCATAAAGATTACACTGCCCTACTGTCTGTCTTGTTGATGAGAAGATGAAAAACTTCACAAATCTCTCAACAAAAGAAACCTTGCCTTCTATTAATGATAGCAAACAACTATTCATCTAATTAACCTTAAAAATTTGCTTTCGCATGGGTGGAGGCAACCTACAGACAATCATTTTGTCAAAAACCAAATTATCTCGCAATTAGTTAATGCTGACAAAGAACAGCAACATACCACACAGTTGAAGACATCAACCTGTCGTGTGAAAATTGAAGGATGAGTAAGTTTTGCAAAGCTTAAAAGATTTGTCTGTTCCCCTCGCTAGCATTTTGTACTGTGTTATGTTATTACAGCTGTGTGAATTATGTTTTTTACTCTATAACAAATGATCAATCCAACGGATAAATTAAATGAAACACAAATTTGCGATTAAGTTCTTCTAACATCAAATGATCATTCTTAAAAGACATTACAAAAATGTAGAACATAAAAGTCAAGCTCTACATTCTACATTTCAACATGAAAATATGTAAAAATACATTGAAGAAATCCACTGTCTCATTTTATTGTAGTTTTATTATTAATTTATTATTATTATTATTCAGCATCAGCAGACAAATTAGGGCTACAAATATGGCATAGACACATTTGTAAATAGGTAAATGTTGTAAAACACATGATGTGCAGCAGACTCCTTCAGCAACAGGATGCCATTCGACTGACACAAGTGATGTTCCCCACTGGTCACTATTTAAGAAAAGAGTCTTAATCTGGCCTTACTCGCACTATTCTTTATATAAGAGCTTTTTTTATTATTATTATTTCGATCTTTTTGGCTCGAGACTACTGGTCTTATTCACTTCCACTCATTTTAAGATATTAAAAACAGCTCGTTCTGCAGCTTGATGTTGCAAACTGATATTTTCTTATTATATTAGTCTACTTTGTCTGTATAATCACGAATACATTTGTTTGTAGAGCACGTAGTTTGACCGTTTTCTGCGGTTTATTATTCGTAGTCATTTCTCCCATAGGCAATTGAATCGGAAGTTCTAAAGCAATCGCAAAAAGGCGCACTGCTGCATTGAAAAATAAGGTCAATGCATTTCATGGGAAACCTAAAGCTGATTTTGAAG